GGGGAGGGGACGGGGGTGGGCGGAGGGGAGGTGGGCCAGGCGTATGCAAAGCTCTCAGCACCGACTCAGACCCGTGGCCCCTGGGTGGCACTCGTGACCTGGCCGTGGGCCATCGTGCCTCCAAGCCAGGCCGGCCACAGGGGCCCCTTCAAGGCCACGGAGGAGGCGTCCACGCTGGCTGGGCTCCCACACGCTCGCACCACCTGCTGCGGCCTCGCCCCTGCGCCACCCGGATGTAAACCCAGCCTGTGCCCCCTTCTCTCAGCTTCGCCGCGGCCCCCAGGCTCCCCAGGCGCCAGGTCCAACCTGCTTCTTAGCCCCCGAGGCTGGTTTCTGCGGGGGAGCCGCGGGAGGGTCAGTGCAGCCCCCTGGGAGTGGAGACCGTGGAGACGCAGACGCAGGTGGACAGAGGGCCGCGGCCACCGCCCGCCGGCGGGGGGGGTCTAGGAGATCCAGGCGAAGTCCTTGTCGCCCCCCGAGGGGCTGCGGGGCTGCGGCGAGTCGTCCTCGTCCTTGTCCCCCAGCAGCGCGTCCTCCTGGGCCAGGCCCTCGCCGTCCTCGCCCAGCTCCTCGCCCTCGCCACGCGGGTCCTCGGCGTCCTCCAGGTAGGGCCCGTCGCCCGGGAACAGCGCCTCCGGGGAGCCCTCGCCGCCCCCGCTGCCGTGGTCCCGAGGCCCGGCCATGCTGCGGCCGGCGCAGTCAGCACACACGCCGTGGCGCCGGGAGCCGTGCCTGATGCCCACGCTGGCGGCAGACATGAACACGCGGCTGCACACCTTGCACACGTACTTCTTGTCTTTGCTGTGGACCTGGGGGGACAGGGCGGTCAGCGGGGGGCCGGCGGGAGGTGCAGCCTCCGTCAGCCCACGGCACCTGCACAGGGAGACCCTCCTGGGGGGCTCCGACGCCGAGCTGCCCCGGGGGACATGGGCTCCCGGCAGCAGCATCCACCCCCAGCCCCAGCCGGGCGGGTCTCCGCCCACACCCCGTGTCCGGGCACCCCCTCGTCCACACGTCCGCGCCGGGGTCACACTGCTCCCTCCCACCTCCCTGCAGCATGGCTGAAGGACCCCCTCATTGGATGGGAGCTCGCAGACCCCTCCTACGCCCGGCCCAGCCCTGTGCCCTGTGCGGAGGCTGCCTAGTCGGGGCAGAGCTGTGGGGAGACGAAGCCAGTCGGGCCTGGGCTCGCGGGGCCCGAGGAGGCCGCCGGAACGGGTGAGGCGTCACACGCCACGCAGGCCTCAGCGATGGTGCCCTGCAGGTGTCTCCATGCTCACATGGACCTGGCCCTGCCCCCAGGGACGGAGACCCGAAGGACCCCCAGGGGACCCCCCCAGCGGCCCTGGCCAGACAGCCCCAGGCCACGCGGGGGCTTCCCAGACGCAGTGGGGCCGCGGGTCTCCAGGCTGCACCTGGCACTGACCGGCCCTGTCCTCCCCGACCCCCAGACCCCTCCGCTCCTCCCTCCGAAGGGCCGTCTCCCCCCAGGTTTGCCGTCGTCAAAGCTGCGCCATGGACCGCGTGAGGATGGAGGTGTGGAAGTGATCGTGAGTTTAGTTCTTCCTCACACGGTTCCAAAGTCTCCAGTTTTCTACGGCAGGCCAGTAACACACCACCACGGTAAGAGTCTAACCCACCTGCGCCGCCGTGGAAGCGGCTCCTCCGTCCTTGCGCAGCCCTCTGACGGGCAGTCACTGCGGCAGCTGCCACCTCATCCTGGGGCCCCGTGCACTGCCCTCCCCACCCCTGTCCTCTGCTTCCCAGTCCCCCGGCCACAGGCCGCCTGGAATCGTCCGTCCTCCCCTTTTGTTCTTGATTTTTTGTTTTTTTAGAGCTCGGCCTCACTGGAGTGCAGCGGCCCCATCACGGCTCCCTGGGGCCTCGGCCCCCTGAGCAGCTGGGACCACAGGTACTGCCACCGTCCCCAGCCCCGTCTTCCCCTTTGCACCCCACCAAGGGTTGCCACTGACTTGCACAAAACCCGGAGCCACAGTGACCTGACGACTCAAACGTCTGCTGCAGCAGCAACTTTGGGACAATCTGTGAGGTCCTGAGCGTGACCAGGGACGGGTTGTTGTATGGGGACCTGGCCTCGGAGTCGGGGCACCACCGCAGCCTCCGTGACGGAGCCCCAGACAGCTCGGTACCCAGGACCCCTCCTTTGAGTGTTTTGTCTGTTTTGCTATATTTTAACCCCGGGGCTTTCCTCTCCACTGACCCCGACACAAAAGAACAAACATTCAAGACCAAGTCACAGTAGAAACTGGTGCCCCGAGGGGCGTGACGTGGGCAGGCGCGGGAGGGTCACATGCCAGATGCCCACAGAGACCCAGCAAGGCCGAGGGCCCCGTGTGAGCTGGGGCTGTGCCGGGGCCCCTGGGGAGGCCACGAGGGGCATCTGAGGGACCACAGGAGCCCCTCGGCCAGGGCCGTGGCTGGGCCTCATCCGCTCAGACAAAGGCTCCGGAAGGAAGCGGGCGGGAAGGGCGCAGGCCCCGTGGCTGCAGGAGCTCGGCCAGCCCGTGCCCTCGGGAACCCCGGCTTGAGCACAGCGGGGCCCAGCCACCGAGTCTCAGGGCCACTGCGGGCCAGGGTGGAGGTGACATCAGTGCCCGTCCTCGCCGTGGTGCAGCAGAGGCTGCCTCTAACACGCGGGCCCTTTTGGGGGCAGGGACCCAGAGAAACTGAAGGGAAGACCACACACTGACCCTCCTCAGAAACAACCAAGCCCCCAGATGGTTTAAGTACACTTTCTGGGGATTAGGATGCCTGAAGCCCAAGCACGGAGCGCAGGCTGAGAGCCCCAGCCCTGCCCGCCAGGCAGCCACACAGAACCTGCGGCAGGACCAAGACCTTTCCTGCACCGTTCCCGTGGTTCCGCTAAAGAAACACGTAGCGACCCACATTGCTACATCTTTTCAGGGCCCGATAGTGTCGAAAACAAGATACGATCCTCTATGAACAGCAAACGTGCAGACATACATCCTCCCAAGCTGTCCTCCACGGCCGGAGGAAACCAAGCCCCAGCCCCGCTCCACGGGGCCTGGCCGAGCAGACCTGCCGGGGCCCTGCCAGGGCTCCTCCTCCTCCACCGACCCCTCACAGGGCCACACGGGGGAGTCGAGGAAGGCCGGAGCCAGGGCCCAGCAGCTCCCACGTCTGCGCCAGGACACAGCCGAGGCTGGGGTCCGAGGGGCGCAGTGGGCCTTCCACCCTCGGCCGGCTGGGTGCACACGCTGGCAGGGCGCACGGGCACCCTCAGCCCGCCGGGGCCCCAGCCCAGGCTCAGCCGCCCTCCAGCTTCAGGTTCGACCTCAAGGAGGGCAGTGGGTGTCCCCACCGCAAATGAGCACTCACCACAGAGCCAGAAAAGCAGAAACAGACCCTTCTAGCATTGTCTGCCTGACCCCGACAGCGAGCTGGAGGGCCCAACAGAGTCACGCGGGAGCAGAACCAGAACTGAGCCCGGAGCCCTGTGAGTGTGGGCAGGAGGCCCGGGCTGGGGCTCTGCTCGCGCCTCGGAGCCCCGCTCTCGCGCTGGGTTTGCCCCTCGCCCCGCACCTCCAGGTGGGCCTGCCCAGGAAGGGCGGCCTGCGTGGGGGCGGCCCCCCAGGGAAGCCCGTGCACCCCAGCTCCCATCCCACAGCCGAGCCCCAACACTCCCGAGATCCCCAAACGCAGCACCGTCCCGCCTCCCTTACCTGGCACATGCCCCGCCTCAACCTTGAGCCCAGGGCCCCCGCCACTGCCCCTCAAACAGCTGCAAGCCCGAGTCTGCCACGGCCCTGCACCCCGCACCTCGGCGGGGAGAACTCAGACCTCCGGGCTGTCGGGGGCTCTGGTGCGGCCAAGGAGGCCCTGGCGGCCCAGTCCCCACCCCGCTGCTCGCTGGTTCTCCTCGCCCACCCGGGACGGCCTCTCCCTGCTGCTCTGGGCAAATCTGCCTCCCTGTCTCAGGCCACCTTTTCCCTTTGTCGTTTCCTCGCCAAGCAGATTCATTTATTCAACACCTGTTACCTGCAACTACCTACCGGGTGCTGAGCTCCGGGCTGGCCGTGGTGGGCACAGACAGATTGGCGGACGCAAGGAGCAGGGTCCCCGCCCTGACCCCAGCGTGGCCACGATTTGGGGCGTCCAAGCAGAGGAAGATGCGTTTGCCGAGGAGGCCAGCAGGTGGGCAGGGCGCACCCGGGGGGCCACGGGCGGGGGCGACGTGGCCGCCCTGCCCTGCACCCAGGCCCAGGCGGAACAAGGTGGGGGCCCCGTGCTGATGGGGGGCTCTCCCCGCTCTGCCGCCTCCCCCCGCAGGGCAGACCCCACGTCTGCGTCCCTGTCAGTGACCCACCTGCCCAGACCCCTCGGCCAAACACTGACCTCGTGCTGACGCCAGCCGACCGCACCCCCGGCCACCCGCCGCACTCACCAGAGTGTGCCGCTTCATGTGCTCGCGCCGCGTGAACTTCTTGCCGCAGATCTCGCAGGGGTAGGGCCGCTCTCCCGTGTGCGAGCGCATGTGCCGCTTGAGGATGCACTGGTGCATGGCGGAGAAGCTGCAGTACGGGCACTTGAACTTCTTCCTGATCACCGCGAACTCGTTCACTGCAAGACAGGGACCGCGGGCGTCAGCGCGGCCCGGGGCACGCAGCCCGCGCTCGCTAACTGTGCGCAGACCTCAGACCACACCCACGGCATCCTCCCAGCCCTCCATCCCCGCATGGGCCGGCGACCCTGTCGCGAGGGGCCGCCAGCAAGACTGAGTCCGGGGAGCTCGACACCCGGTTCTCGGAGCCTCCCCCACAAAGCCCGAGGCCGGGCCCGACCGAGGCGGCGGCGAGAGCTGGGCACGACCATCTTGCGTGGCGTCCCGTCCCTGCCAGCCCTCCCTTCAAGCCCTCGGACCCCCGCTGCTCGTCCACGTGTGGCCGGCCCCAGGCACGGAGTCGGATCTTAGTCTCAGGCACTAGAGAGGCAGATTAGAAACCAAACACCACGGAGCGACACGGGCCCTAAAGAGTGCGGAGGAAGCGGGGGACGCGGGGGGGACGCAAAGCCCTGGTCTCAGCCAGGCCCTGCCCCCCGAGCCTGGGCCCCGACCTCACCCTGCAGGGGCCCCCACCACCCAGCACCATCAGTTGTGCGCTCGAGCCAGCCCCGGAAACCCCGGGCCCCTCATCAGCCCCGGCGCTGTTCTGCTGCTCGGGCCCCAGACACAGCGATCCACGCGCCACCGCAGAGCCCAGAGCAGCCACGCTGAGGGCACGGCACCAGCACGCGCCAGGGCCTGGCCACGCCAGCGACAGCCCCGTAAAACCCGCTGTGAGCCCGTCCACCCTCGCGTGCTCTGGAGTTGCAAGGCACTCGCCGCACGGAACATCTTCCACTTAACACGTCGTGACCACCTTTTCATGCCATGGCTGTCAACCACACAGCTTTCAGATGTTCGAATTCACCGCAGTTTATTAAATGGGTCCTACTGCCGGGCACCTGAGCTGCGTCCGTCTTTACCCCGTGAACGGGCTTCCGCGAGGCCCCACAGACGGCTCCGCACCCGCTGTCCGCCGTCCCGAGGTAAATCTGAGAAGCGGCGCACGCAAATGCCCCCCAGCCCCCGGGCGGGGTCTGCCACGGCCGTGGGCTCCGGCAGAGGGGCACACGCCACGCAAGGCCCTCCCGACGGCAGGTCCGACTGAGGGAGCGCGGCACTGGCTGGAACGCCGCTTTGTTACGGCAGCAGCCTGCAGGGCGGCAGCGACCCGCTGGGAGGCAGCGCGGTCTGCGCCGCACACGGCTCGCCCGGCCGGCCGCGCCCCAGGAGGAAACATAAGCTCTTCCTCGCCCTTCCTCAGATAGCCACGCTCTGCCCCACTCGGGCCTCCACAAACCGGGCAGCAAGCGCCCCTCCTCCTTCCCGCCACACCGCGCACCCCGCCAGCGCTTTGTCGGATCATTCCCGGTTTCCGTATTTCCACACCCAGTGGAGCAAACGCTCCACATGTTCCAGGAGGGAAAGGAGCACAAGGAAATGAGTTTTTAGATTAGTTTATTTAAAATAACTTTTTTGAGAACACACTCCCTCGTGGTTTCTACTCTGCTTCTACAACCACGAACGTTAAAATTTTGAAGCATCGTAGATTTGTCCATCGCTATTTAATAATTCAGTCCTACGAGTTACATAAATGCTTATCTGTACAGAGACCCTGTATCCTTCTCCTAGAAAAACACTTCACAACGCACATGAGCACGACGCAGCGTGACTGCTGGGAACTGCTCCCGAGTAAGCGGGACGCAGGGCAGAGACGCGGCCGCACGTCCGGTTGGCGCGTCGGGAAGTTCCTCTGCGATGACACGGTCCGTGTTTTCCTAACGCGGCGCTGCTCAGTCGCTGCCATGACAAATGCCACAAACCGGGCGGCTCAGAACGATGTAAGTTCCTCTCTGGCAGTCCTGGCGGTCGCAGGTGTGAGGGCGGGAAGGGCGTGCGCGGGCGGCTCCGGGGGCCTTTCTGCCTCTTCCGGTTTCTGGGGCCCAGCTGTCCCGGTTGTGTCCGAATCGCTCCAGTCGCTGCCCTGTCTCCACGCGGCCTTCTCCTCTGTGCGTCTGTCTTTCCTTCTTCTGTCTCTTACAAGGACATTTGTCGCTGGGTTCAGGGCCCACCTGGAGAACCCAGGAGGGCCTCGCTGAGGTCCTTCATTTGACCACATCTGCAAAGACCCCTTTTCCAAGTAGGTCCCGTTCACAGGTTCCAGGATCAGGACATGGACATATGTTTTGGGGGGGCCAGGGGTCACCATTCAACCCACGACATTTAATTAACAGTATTGCGATTGCAGAGGGAAATTTTCACTGGCCATGATTATTAAAATACTTTCTTATTAGAAGCATCTCCTATAAATTGTGATTTACAGTCCATATATCTTAGAAACTTTTCAACATCATTCTCGTAAACACTAATAAACCCCTAAAAATCCACATGGTAAAAGAATAATTAAACGAAAAAGCATAAAGACCGAATGGAAGCAGGCGCCCTCCACCAGTCTGTCCTGAACACTGAACGCCTTTGCCAGGAATCGAGTGTTTCCAGGAGGAACGAGGCAACCTCCCAAATGAAGAACCTAGAAACAGGGTTACAAAAGTTGGCGTCAGAGTACCTAAAATGTGAAGCCCAGTGAGATTTGGCTACAATTTTGCAGAACTGTATCTATGAAAGCACCTCCAGCAGTTCCCACGTGACCCAGGAGCGTTGTGAGCCCAGGGAAGAGCGGGTCTCCGCCCCTCCCTGCACGGCCACCGAGCTGGGCCCGGCCTCCGTGCCCTCGCAGGAGCTCCTGGCCGCGGGAGAACTGGCTGTCACCAACAGCCGCAGCGCAAGTGAGACCTTTTCGCGACAGCGTCAGACTGCAAGACACCACCCGGATGGGGAGGGAGCTACCGTCTCCAGAGTCCTTAGTCATGGAAACGTCCTGGATGTTTCATGGTCCAAATATAATTTTCGAAAGATTATTCCAGAAATGGATCCAAACGTGAACCATACTTTGTTTTTCCATTTACAAATTTATTAGGCTGTCATCTATTTTGTGTTAGAATACGGTGAAATTATCATGTGCCCAAATTATTTTCAAAAAGGTTTCTAATTTTACAGAGTGTGCAAATATCTTAAACAGCTCAACGAACTTTTACCTACGCACGTACCTGCGTACCTCGCTTAAATCAAGACACTACACGCTGGTAGCACCCTCGAAAGAACCTTTGACCCCTCCTGGTCAACCACCCCTCACAGGCAACGACTGCTCTGCCCTTGGTCACCACACGTGTGTTTCGCGGTTCTGGGGCTTCGCATGTGTGGGATGTGCTCGCGTGTGGCTTTGTTCACGCAGCCACGGCGCGCCCCCTCCGCGACCCCGGTCTGGGCCTACCGGACGGTGGTGACTACACATGTCCCTCCGTGGACACACGCTGTCACTTCTGACGCACGTCGCACAAGGGAGGGGTTTCTGGATCACAGAAAGGGACCCACACGTTTGGCTTTAGCAGAAACTGCCAAGCGCTTTCTAGGGTTTACCGGTCAGCTCCGTTCATCCCCGTGCTTGGCGAGAGGCAGGGGCCAAGCTGCACCGTCCGCTCCGTACTGGCGACCCACGGCGCGGCACCGCACGGCGACGGGACCACCCACCCCGCGGAGCTGCGGAGGGGACCCGGTGGGACACGCACCCCGCGTCTGCTTCTCCGTCCCCCGCGTCCGCTTCTCCGTCCCCGTCACGCAGCCCCACGAGCCTCGGTGTCTGTCGGCCCCCGCCTCCTCCGAACTCCCGGAGATGAGCACGACCGTCCGTGTGAACCGGGGCTTCTGTTTCCTGCACCCGATGCTGACCTTTGGGACCCTGATGGCCTCGCGGGACGTCGTTTATATTCTTGTTACCGTTCAGCACCCGTAGACTCTGTGTGACGACCGCTTTTTGTGACTTTTTTTGGTAATTAGCACTTTCCTCTCCTTTTACCGGTCACTTTTCACGGGGGTTCCCAGATTCACCAAACTTCCCGACACCCAGCTGTCGGCGCCGTTCGTTGGTGTCTGCTTCTCTGTTTCACCGGTATCTGCTCCTCATTTCCTGCCTTCTACTTTCTTTAGGTTGAATTTGCTGTTCTTTTTCTCTCTTCCTGACAGAGAAACTTAGAACCTTTCTTCTTTCCTAACCAGTGCAATTAGAGCTATAAAGTTCTTTAAACACTGCTTTAAACGTGGCCTAAAAGTTTTGACATGGAGTATTTTCATTATCATTCAGTTGCAAACATCCTATCTTTTTCACTGTGGCTTATTTGCCTTGTGGATTACGTAAGAGCACGTTGCTGCCTTTGCAAGCATTTGGGGATATTCTATCGTCTCTCTGTTCCTGATTTCCGATTTCGGTTTGGCGGCGGCGAGAGCGTGCCCTGCGCGCTTCCGGCCCTTTGGTATCCGCTAGGCCTGCGTCACGGCACGGCTGGTCTGTCTGGTGGACGTTTCCCATCCATCTGGAACGCGCTGCACTTGTTTGGCACGATGTTCAAATCGGGCTAATTGCGCTGCCACGGGCCGGTGTCTCTGTGGACGCAGCTGCGAGGCTCTTCCGCGAGACACCAGCAAGTGGAACCTGTCGTTACAGGAAAGAACCACGGCCCGTGGCCAGAGAGGCCATTCCAGGAATCCAAGGTTCCTGTAACATTTGAAAACTGTGCTCGAATCTTCTCCACCCTGCTGCAACTGTGTTCGCGGCTCCGCCGATTCCTGAGAGACGAGTGTTTCAAGCCCCAGTTACAACCGTGGACTGTCGTCACTGTGGTTCTGACGTTCACGTCGTGTGTTTCAAAGCTGAGCTGCTAGCAGCACACGCGTGCGGGAGAGTCGTGTTCACCACGGAATCGGCCCTTTTATCACCACACGATTCCCTCCTGGGTGGCACTTCGAAGCTTACTCGGGTGCTGGCCGTGCTATAGGGACGTTCTTCAGGTCAGGGTCTGCTTGGTTTATCTCTTGTTTTAAGCCTTTCTCTTTCCTTATCCATAAAGTATGTCATCCGTAAACAAACCATCTTTAAAAACAGGCCGATCGTCTATTACTGGGG